ATCAAAACATAAAATAGAATTTTTTTTTTGAAAACTTACCAAATCAAGTGGACGAGAAAATAAAAGCTTGAATGGATGAGATGCTTGAAAGGATGAGAAAGAGATCCAATGGTAAAATTTTGAATGGATGTGAGAGCTCAAATCGTATTGTTTGAGTTTTTTTTTTAATAAATGAGGAAGACCCTGACGCGAACATATGAAACAAAAGTATTCAGAGATACATCTCCGAATCACCCACTACTTTTAAAATTAATAGTGTTTACAGAGATATATCTTCAAACGCGTCTTTTATATATATATATATATATATATATATATATATATATATATATATATATATATATATATATATATATATATATATATATATATATATATATATATATATATATATATATATATATATATATATATATATATATATATATATATATATATATATATATATATATATATATATATTAAATTTTAACATAATAAAATGCCTCATCAATTCACTATGAATAATGAATTAAAAATATATGAATAGAAATGCATTTCCGAAATATTTGAGACTTATCGCATGGCTTGGGAGCACCTTAGGTGGAAAAAGTAATCTCCTTTATTAAATTACTTAGGGTGCAAGGGTTAACTGAATAGGTGAGAAGTAAATATTCTCAAAAATCGCCTCATACGTATCAAAGGGCCCAAATTCAAATTCAAATCCAAAAATCGCTTCGATTCGACGGTTAGCCACTTTCTAAGAATGACTACTGGCTATCTCTAACAAACAAACAACTCCTTCATTCATGGCGTCAAATTCGAAGGCATTCGTCTCTGCCTCTCCGATTGTGACCGCCGGCGAGTTCCCCCAACAGATGAACCTCTCAAGCTCCGTTCCTATCCGAGCTCCTCCCACCCTTGATGATTCTGATTCTGAATTTGAACTTTCAAGTGACGCCACTCTTTCTGAAACCGCCTCGCATTCTGACCTAGAAGCTCAATCACATGAAGAAGAAGAGTGTTTTGAACTTGACGAAGAACTTTCCCCTCTCGTGCAATTACCTTTGCGTGTTACTCCTTTCGCTCATTTGTCAACTTACGATGACGAGGAAGAAGAAGAAGACGAAGAAGATAATGGTGGTGAAATGTTGAGTGATGAGAGAGTTGCGGAGAATCTCGTTGGTGCATTTTCGAAAGATACTGGTTCCGATGTTTCCATTGAAGCTGAGAATGACATTCCATATGGACAAGGGCTTCGAATCAGAGTAGCTTGTGAAGAATATTCTACTGATAGTTCAATTGATTCTGATGCCATGTCGCAGTGTTCGCCAGAGAATTCAGACAATGAGCAATTTGAGAAGGTAAGTGTTGCCTTAAATGAATTTGAAAATGATGAGATCAAACTTTATGGTTTAGATAGGAATGATGATATTAGGGTTGAGTTTATTGAGACTGACGATGTAATGCAAAGGAAGTTGGAAGTTGTTAACAACACCGAGACTTCTGATAAGGTGGAAGAAACTTCCGATGCATGTAGCTTATTGGAGTCTAATGCCGAGGGTTATATTGACAGCGTGACGCTGGAACAGAATACAAGTGTTGACTATTTAGGAGAACAGAATCCCCAAATATGTGAACCTCTATCGGATGCCTTCGCTGAGAATTTTGAAAATAGTTTCGAACATTGCCAAGAAAATGTTATTATAACTGAAAGTGAGAATTTGGTAAGCCTAACTGAAAGTGAGAAACTGAATAGCATGATGCTGGAGCAGAATACAAGTGATGACTATTTAGAAGCACAGAATCCACAAACAGGTGAATCTCTAGGAGATGCCTTTGCTGAGAATTTTGAAAATAGTTTAGAACATTGCCGAGAAAATATTGAATATAGTACCACAGCAACTCGAAACATCTCAGCTAATGGAAGTCTAGGTGTTGCTTCTGTTTCTCATCAAGAAAGTGAAAGTGAGAAACTGGGAAGTATAGCTGAACCTGTAGTTGACTCAAAAGCTATATTGGATGGTTCTTCGGTTGGTTTTGAATCCAATGGTGATGCTTCTGAAGGTAATAAAATTCAAGATGTTGAGTATTATGAAATTTCTGATCCTGCACTCCTTCGAGAGTGTACATATTTGGAAAAGGATCTGTCTGAAACTGTTTTAGATGTTCTGGATGATGATGTGCTGTTTTGTGATTACCACTCGCGTGAAAATGAGGAAATATTTTATGTGGGAGACACTGTAAATAAAGAGGCTACTATGGAGCTAAACAATGTAAGTCAAGAATCAAAAAGAGGTGGTTCTGCTTTGGATGATGATGATGTGGAAGAGTTGATGTCAGCTCGCTTTGAGCAGTTAAGGGAACAAATTTCAGCTCTCTCGATTCTTTTGGGTTCAATAGGCTCCAGAAAGAACTCTCATGAAGAAGAGACGGTCATGAGTCCACATGCAAGAATGAACTTGCCAAAGGATGATGCTAGAAGTCAATTAATTTATTTTGATAATGATTGTGAATCGGATTGCAACTCAGTTACAGTCACTTATACCGGTCAATCCAATGTCCATTTCCTCCAAAATCGAGCTAGTTTCAGTTCCTTGCTAAGTGGTGATGCTCAAGCTGGGTTCCAATTCCAACACGACTTAAGTGAAAATGAAAAGGAAAAAATACACAAGATACATACCATAAGTGTGAAATTCTTGAGGCTTGTCCAGCGAATAAACTTCTCTCTTGAAGATTCCTTGGTTTCAAAAGTTTTATGCAGGTTGGTTGCAGATATCGGAAGGCGCTCACATCAAGAATTTGTGATTAGTTCAGCAAAAGTATTAGCAAAAAAGCTTGAAGAAGATTTTCAGGATGATTTAGACTTTTCATTGAACATTCTAGTTCTTGGCAAAAGTGGTGTAGGAAAGAGTGCAACCATCAATTCTATTTTTGGCAATAAAGTGGTCATGACAGATGCATTCGAACCGGCCACAACTTCTGTAAGTGAGGTTTCTGGAACTGTAGATGGAGTCAAGATCAGAATCCTTGACACACCTGGTCTCAGGGCCCCTATGAAGGAGCAAGCTTACAACAGAAAGATACTTTCATCGGTAAAGAGGTATATGAAAAAGTTTCCTCTAGATGTCATTCTCTATGTTGATAGAGTAGATATCCAGACTACAGATATAGATGATATACCGATATTAAGGTCAATCACAAATTCTCTAGGTCCATCAATATGGCAACAGGCAATTCTTACTCTCACTCATGCTGCTTCTACTCCATTGGATGGTCCATCAGGATCCCCTCTGAGCTATGAAGTATTTGTTTCTCAAAAATCCCATCCTGTTCAACAATCAATCATCAAAGTAGTTAGTGATCAGTGTCAGTTGAGCCCAAGCTTCATGTGCCCAGTGTCTCTTGTCGAGAACCATCCATTATGTGAAAAAAATATATCGGGGGACAGTGTGCTTCCCAATGGACTTAGATGGAGAAGCCAGTTATTAGCTTTGTGTTTTTCGCAAAAGAACCTATCTCAAGTGTCTTCAGTTTCAATACCTTGTACTCTTCTTGATCATTGGAAGCACTTTTTGCTCCCGGACCATTCCCAGCCTCTGTGCCATCTATGTTCTTGTTTGTTGCAGTCTCCTGCTCATCATCTAAAATTTTCTGCCAATTGGAATTGACTTGGACATTCTTTCAGTGGTGAGAAGACACAAAAAGATTCTGGCACATCAAGGGATAGTCCTGCAGAGAAAGTCCAGGGGAGAAGTTTCAACGTTCATTTATTTCAAGTCTAAGCTTCTGGTGATGTCAATTCAAGATAGTAAGTGACTGGGGTAATAATCTTCATTGCCAGATTGTCAATACTCCAAAAAAAAAGTTGGTACATTCTAGGTAGCTTGCTTGCTGATTTAAAAAACGAAAAAGTATTAAATTTTCCTCCTCGTTTTGTTCGTGTGGACGTGTTTATTCCTTTCACAAGTTGGTTTATAAAAGTGCCTGAAGTACTACTCAACTAACAATGTTAGACTTATCTCTTTTAAACTTCTAAAACACAGTTAAGTTTCCAATAACCTCGTGCATATTTAGAAGAAAAATACATTTGATGTATTAGACAAATTTAATGTCTCTAAAAGCATGGAACATATTAAGACTATCAATACAACATGCGTTGAGTTGACATAGTAAACTTATATGAACAGGAAATATTGTAGGGAGGGATCAAACAATCATACACTACACACCTCACAATACACTACAGATCTTACAATTCTCTAAAACTCATAATTACTTTTGTGCTAGTGCTATGCAATCTTACGATAATAATTAGAAGCTAAATTTTGGGCATCAACAACTAGGCTTGTCTATGGTTTTTCATGACTTGTGGTGCGGGAAGTGAGAACTATACTGCTGCTACAATGAGTCTATTGTGTGTGAGAAAAACCAATTCTTAAATTTCTAAATTATGAATACACATTTTCCAATACAATCTTTCTTTATTTATTCCTTAAACAAGAACCGCAAAACTAACATTTTTTTTTTATTTGACGTGGGCACTGGTTTCTTAGCAAAATACTTTTAAAACAGGTGCGCCGGATTTTTCACAATGGTACACGTGCACCAGTTTTTTTATACACTAACAAGTACATAGTTTTAAAAACCAGAATCAACCAATCAAATGATAATACATTAGCAACTCTGCAGGTTTGCATTTTCGCTGTGGTGTGAACCGTACAAGTTTACAATAAATATTCTCCCCATCTAATCATACAAATGTAAAAAAAATCCCAGATCAAGCAATACATTGAACTTCTAACTTTGCAAGGCATAGGGACCAGATATATTGTTTGGTTGAATAAAATAAAGCAAATGAGTAATGGTTCTGCAGGATACCAATCCTCACAAAGATAGAACATAATGTTTGATGAATTTACAGGCTAGGAGATGTGTCCAAATAAAGACAAGGTCCCCCAGCTTGCTGTGGCATGGAAAATTCATGTTACAAACAGAAGCTCATGTTAGGAGTCATTGAGTTAAATCTTCTGCATCAGCGAATCAATCTGAGCACATGAATTAGGCGAAAGCTGCTGCATTATTTCTGGTTCTTCCAATTCATGTGATTGAATATTTATATCCTGTCAAAGAAAGTGTCACTAATAACATCAATGCAGTGAAAGCTAAAAACACGAAAACAATGAAAAACCCTGTACTCTGGAAAGTGGATTGATTTTCTATAAACATTTTACATTTTATCCAACAGACCAGACAAGACCGGATCTGGATCCTCTCCAATGACTAGAGAGATCCAGAGCAAAAACCGTTCACCGCATGCAGTAGCAAAAACAAGTGGTTGAGATTAGCGCAGGACAAACATTCCAGAAAAAACAGGAGAGGGCCCGTTTCCAGAAAAGAGACAGAAGCAGCTAATCATCAACATTTTTTTAATGTAAACAAATATTGTCTAAAGATATACCATGTCAGTTTTAATTAATCATCAATAATTCTTCATCAAAATTATCCCAATTTCGATTAATTCTTAGTTGAAGATCAGAGTATGAATTCTGCAAAAATCAACTGGTAGAACTGTAGAAGAGAATGTGTATACCCCAAAATTTGATCTTCCAAACTTCTCCTTGGAATTTCAATTTACAGAGTGAGCAGGAAAAAGGACAGACAAGACAATAAATTCAATACCTGTGTCTGTACAAGTGGTTGAGATTGCTGATCTTGGGCTAAAGGATAAGCTTGTGCTTGAGACATTCTATAGTAAGGCTCTTTCAAATCAAGCTTGCAAGAAGATGTTTGAATAATCCCTCCTTGTTCAGCACCAGGACCCCACATTTTAGCTAATGCAAATTTACATTTTTTTCGTTAATATCATAATGCAATTCATGGTAGTATAGCAATAAACAAAAAAGAAAAGATACAAATACCAACCAGACAAAGTTAAGTGTATTGTATAACTCTGTGCACTGTGGGCAATCAAACGAAGCCTGCCAGTAATTTCTTGCCCTGCCATGACATAAATTGGCTGCGAGAGAACACAGCGTAACTGGTACCAATGGGTTGTGGGTGAACCAGGAGCAGTGGTAAGCCACCTTTGTACGGTACTGTAAAATTTTAACAATTTAAGAAAATCAACAGATAAAAACAATAAGGGACCCTAGATTAATAAAAACTGGTTAGTTGTTTTTACAATAAGAGGAATGTTTACCTTCCATTGAATAGTACATCAAACCAACATGCCAACCCATGTACTCTGGTGCCTACAGAGGCAATGAATCTCAGAGGAATGTCAACTTCATACAAATCTTCTTCCTACAGAACAAAAAGATATTTGGTCAAATCTTCTTCATGAGGAATAAATACAATCAAGTCAACGACCAACTATATACCATTTGTATAAAATAATTATACAAAACGAGGGAAGAAGAAAAACATCGCTTTTTAATATAGTTTTGAAGAAATTTTCTTCTTCCAGAGAAGAAAGAACGACTCAATAATACAATGATCACAACATCCCGATCCAAGAAAATACAATAATCATCAGAAGAGTGTCTTACTTAAAAAATAGTTACAATAAGGAAATTGTTGTATTAAAATAAATATTATAGATGGAAAAATGAATGCAATAAAAATTAATCAGCTTGTTTGATAAAAAAAATGTAATTTTATTAGAGTAAACTGCCAAAAGCACCTTAGGAATAAGAAATTTGATTCTTACCTTCATTTTGGTGAAGTCTAATACATGGAACATTGGAGGAGCTATTAACAATCTTGGATCAAAAGCATCCACCACAGGCTTTTTGGAGTACAAAATAGAACAAAATGTGTTAGTTTCAAAATTTTATGTTCAATTTAACTGCAACATAAAACACTATTAATTTATGATTACCAACTAAAACCTCGAGATTTCTATGTCAACACCATTACTTCTAATTTTGAATGACAAATCTTAATAATTAGTTGTTGATAATTACATATCAATACCATTGTCGTATGAATAAATAATCGAATACTTAATGTCTTACAAATGGATGATAAATTTAAATTTGATACATGTACAATAGAATAAAAAACTATCGCATTTAATCTTTTCTCAGTTCAAGGAGAAATCTGCACACACACAAACCATCATCTCAGCAATTTCCAAATGAAGTCTATTCTCACAAAACCACATGTAACCTTCAATCAATTTCTGAAAAACAAGCTAGTCTAATACCTGAGAAAAATATCCTTGAAATGCAGTCCCGTGTAAGGGTGTCAAATCAACGCCATAATAGTTTTGCTGCTGCCAGAACAGTGCCTGGACAAAAGCAATTGGTTTAAAATAGAGAAAAATTAGTATCGCGGAGAAAAGAATAGTCAGAAAAGCAGCAAGATTAATAAATCTTTAGAAGAATGCTATCTGTGGTTAAATTCTAATACATGAATTATGAAATCAACATTTTATGAAGTAAAATGCTTTGGTACTCCGATTAACAGCCAGTCAGGGGAAGCAAGGTTACAGTTTAGTATTGTAATATCATTGAAATCCTTTAGAAAAGACAATTGAATCATATCTATGTAAGAGATGCTTTGGGTTGACTTCTTTGCAATCCTGAATCTATGATAAATATAAGTTTTTTTTTCATTTTAAACTTCTGCAACTCAAAGCAGCAAAACAATCCTTTTTAATTTTATAGATGTATGAGAAGTAGTATTAGATAATGAAAGAAATACAAATGTGGTGTCTGTGAAATCCTTTTAATTTTAAAGACGTGTGAGAAGATGTATTAGATAATGCAAGAAATACAAATGTGGTGTCTCTTTATACATAGGCATAGAATTATGCACCACATTAGCATTTTCAACAAACAAAAACACACACACATTACACACAAACATATTACACACCTTGTTAGCAATTTCAATAAACAAATATTCATCAGTGAAAGGCGCCATGTGAATCCTGCACGGGTAAAAATCTCAAGGTTAGAAAAAGACATTAATTAGATGATTACAAACATTGCGAAGGAAAACAGCATAATTCCAAGCGCCTAGTTGTTTCTCTTTTTTAGAGAAAAACACTTTTAAATTTAAAAAAAAAAATGGTTTAAAAACTTGACGACAATCAAATGTTCTTCAGACAAAAAATATTAAAAAATATATATTAGTGATTCTGAGGAGCACAAACAATTTATTTTGAATGGAAAAATGACCACTAAAGGTTTTATAAGCTTATCCAAACAATTCAACAAATTTATCATAGAAATGCCTTTTATAAGGTTGTCCAAACAAAATTCTATACCATTGTGCAAAGTATATCATTTAGAACAAGTTAGGATCTACTCCTTGAAAACTCATATTTGGCTAAAGAAATTAAACAAAATATAGGCACAAAGCACATAAATGACAACGTTCAACAAATGTGAATGTTGGATATTAGGCACAAAACACATAAATGACAACGTCCAACACATGTTAATTTTGGATATTATTGTGAACGACCAGAGTTTGCAATAGATTTTAACATTCATAAATTTGTTGAATTGTCAGAACCATTGGGAGAAAAAAAAAACAATTTTAAATGGAAGTATATCAATTTGAAAAGGAAGATAGTTATCTGGCAATAATCATGTTAGTATTGACATGTCCACATGCAAGAAGCTCCAATAAACATAGAAAGGGAGCTAAATTTACCTTCCCACCCCAGGAAACATTTTCCCAGTAGGAGTGAGAAACCTATCTCTGGCAATGACATAAGACTCCAGCATTCTCTCATTAACTAACAAAGTGCCTGCATAACAACAAAGGAATTTTCCCGGCTTATAAAACACTATCATTTCAAAACTTTGTGCAGCAACTTAACATTTAGTTCTACACTACAAAGCAACAAAAGAAAAAAACTACTGTATTTGACAAGACAACATACCTATGTTATAAATTATAAATTGAATATTAACCCTTTTATTTTGTCCAGACTTATCAAAGGAATCATAATATGAGCTTACCCATGGGCTCTGAGATCAGAATATCTGCTTTCTCTGGCAACTCAACATCCTCAACTCTACCTTTAATCACCTAAGTAAAATGATTAATATGTAAATTAGTTCACTGAATAATAAGATAGCTGCTGAAAATTGATTTTTATAGCGATAAAACTATGAAACAAATCTCACTGTAATTCGTTGAGCCAGTGTTGGGTTTCCTGCTATAAGTTTACGGGCATATTCTGCCATTTCAGATGCTTCCACAGCATAAACATGTTTTGCACCGGCCTGAGACACCAAGATTTTTCATTTAATTAGAGGCAACGACACTATCATATGCTACAACTAGGATTGAGCAAAATTAAGATGTTGAGCTACCTGAGCAGCAAATAATGACAAAATACCGCTACCAGCGCCCACATCAACTACTACACGGCCGGTAAAATCAGCTCGGTTCTCAATAACAGCGGCATAATAAGTTCCTATATCATGAACGAATTAGTAAAATAATTGGGTAGAATTCAAATTAAAAAAATGGGACCACTAGAATACAACAAGGTATAACCTGTCCGCACATAGTCCTGCAACATATTTTGCTGGTGAAGAAGTTGTCCATAATAATGAAAATACATTTTTGCAGAAGAAGCCTCTATCTTTTCATCAAACTTGCTTTTAGAAGTTGTTAAAGTTCCATTTGGTAAGCTCCCTGCTGGAATAAAAAATCAACATGTAACTAAACTTATATCGTATAAGGAACATTTGATAATAAGAAAAATGAACACTGAAATGTATAAAATATAAACATAAACATAAATATAAATAAGTAGCACATAAGTGTATCATGATCATGATCCATGTTAAAAATAAAAATTTACAACAAAACAAAAAATTTAGCAGGAGACTTGAGACAACAATTTAAGTGTCAGCCAACACCAACAACAATAAAGCCTTAATGTACTATCTAATATCATGTTCCTATCCAATTTATTAATCTTGAGATCTTAATAGTTTCTCTTATAGTTTTTCTAGGTCTTCCTCTACCTCTAGTTGTTTGACTTCTCTCCATCTGATCTACTCTCGTTATAGTAGAATCTACATGTCTTCTCTCTACATGCCCACACCACCTAAGCCAATTTTCCACCATCTTATCTACTATAGATGTTACCCCAACACTCTAATATTGTCATTTCTAATCTAATCTTATCTTCTCTAATTTAACCACACATCCAACGCAACATCCTCATCTCTGCTACACTTACTTTAGTCTTATGTTAATTCTTAACCGCCCAACATTTTGTTCCGTAAAACATCGCATGTCTTACTGCTGTCCGATAAAATTTTCCCTTCAATTTGGGTGGTACTTTTGTATCACATAAAACCCTTGAGGCCCTTCCTTCAGCTATGACATGGATCAATTAAAGTGCCATCCATACGAAGAAAAACTTAAGAATGATGAGACACTAAATCAACGTGATCCAGCAAGTTCTTGCAAATAAGTCTAATGTAACATGAGAAATACTGCAATTAGAAGAAGAAAAAACAATCCTTGAAAAAATAAAATATCACAAGTTCCTTTTTATTCAAGCAAGTACCTGACGGCAAATAAGGTTTCGCTAGTATTTAATACCCAACTTACATTAGCCTGACAAATTTCCCAGCTTGCCTTATACCATACATCCAATTTGTAATTTGTATTCAGTGCACCAGAGAAGAAAATTTGTTTAACCAACAAACATGTCGAAGGATCAGAGTTATTAATCCTAGATAGTGGAGCGGAGCGGCCAACCCCAAAAATGGGATAGCGGGATAGCGGAGTGGAGCGGCCGACCCCAAAAATGGGATAGCGGGATAGCGGAGTGGAGCGGCCGACCCCAAAAATGGGATAGCGGGATAGCGGAATGACTTTTTGAACTAATTATATGAATAATCTATCTATATGTTTAATGTAGATTAAATAACTTTTTGAACTAATTATATGAATAGAGAAGTACAGGATAGACAACAAAATAGAAAAGCAAAAAACTGAAGTAGAGAAGAAGAAAAATAGAGAGAAGCTTGAAGCAGTTGAGGCGGATGAGGAGTTAGGGCAAAAGAAGCGGCGAGCGAAAAACGCGAAATGAGAGAGGAGAAAACACGAACGACTATAATAAATTTTCCAATTTAAATAAATTTTTTTAAGGGTAAATTAGGGCTGGAAATGAGTCGAGTCGAGTCGAACTCACCTCAGCTCGGCTCGACTCGTTAAGAATTGTTCGAATTCGAGTTCGAGTTCGAGTTCGACACGAACTTTTTTTTAAGCTCAAACTCGACTCGTTATAAGTTCACGAACAGTTCGGTTCGACTCGTTAGGTTCATCTCATTAGGTTCATCTCACATGGTTCACGAACTTAAAAACTATTTTTTTAAATATATATATTTTTTAGTATATTTGACATTTTAAATAAATATATATTTTTTAAATAAAATATTAAAATAAAATAAAAGTTATCATATTGAAATTTAACTTTATCTTTGAAATCTACTAATTCAAAACCTACACAACTTTCAAGAGATACATTTGAGAGTCTAATTCAAAAACTACTAAATTGAAGATTAAATTTGTCTAAGTTTTGAAGTAAATATTTAAACCTAATCTTAAAGACAATATAATTCTTTTCATATGTAACCGAGTTGACTCATGAACCTAACGAGTCGAACTATGTATAGTTCAAGTTCAGCTCATTTAGTTAACGAACTTAATTTTTCGCTCATACTCAACTCATTTGGTTCATGAACCTAGTTCAACGATTTAATTGTCGAGTCGAATTCCGAACTATCTTCGAGTTGGTTTGGTTCATTGCCAGCCCTAGGTAAAATGGACTTTTCACACTTCAAAAAAGCACTAAAAGCATACAACCGCTCTGGGCCGGGCCGCTCCCGCAACTCGCTATCCCAGCTTTCCCAGCCTCTATCCAAAACTGGGATGCACGCTCCTCTGTAGCAAAGGATTGTCGCACCGGGAGAGAATCCCGGTATAGTGCCCGGAGCAGCCGCTATTAATAACTATGAGGAGGATAAAGGTTTTTGAACAATGAGAACATACTAGACAAAACTCAGAACATGAGAGGTCATTCAACAGTAAGTTAACACCTTTACAAAGAAAAATTCATTTAACCAACAAACATGTGGAAGGATAAAAGTTTTAAAGCAATGAGAATATACTAAGGAAAAAATGCACCACATCAAAAGCTATTCTACAATAAAGTTTACACATTTACAAAGGAGCACCTTGAACATTGGCTTTCTTTATCCATTGTTGGACAACAGAATGAAAGGCCTCACACTCCTCCTCGTTTTTAAACTGGATAGTTACTCCAGTAGAATACGATGCCTGATTCAAAAATAACACAGTCAAAATGAATATGAATGCTCTGTAAACATAAGCATAATCAAAACCTCAAACAGGATCAAAACCAGCATCATCAAAAACATAAAATTCATCAAAATTAATCCTTAGATCTTCATCAATGTTAAATAGCTAAAAAAAAATTATAGTCCATACCGCTTTACCAACATCAGAGCCTTCCATAATGCAAACGGATCGAACAGGACCTAATTTGAATATCTGTGAAGTTAAACAACAAATGAACCATCTTTAAGAGATCCTTGCGCAAATAGAAAATGAAAACTCAGCCTTAGAATTTTGAATTCAAAGAAAATTTTAAAAACCTAAAAAATGCAAATTAATATATCATTGAAAAGCTAAGGAAAAAACAAAGAGGAAAGTAAAGAAATGAACCTGAGCAGTTCGGAGATCAAAATTAAAAGAAATCTCTCGAGCCTGTTGATGAATTTGGAGGCCATCGGAGGTGAAGCGAGCAATTCCCGGCGAAGCGGCATCGGAAGAAAGTTCCGAAACCGATGAGAGAGAGAACTCTCTGTTCTTCCAAGTTTGCCCTAATAAATCCTCCATTGTTGTTAATATCACGAACAAGTTTTGTTTTTCAATTAAAGCGATATCAATAAATTGATTTTTATTGATGAATCTTCTTCATGACATGAAACGAAAGTATAAGAAGAAAGTACGGAGTGTGAGAGAGTGTTATTTAAAACGAAACTAGGGTTTGGAAAGATTGAGAGCCGCCCGAAGTGAGATAGAGTGAAAAGCGGGAGATAGTTGAGTTTCACTTCACTTCACTCAAGCTTTTTTTTTCTTTTCTTTTATTTATTTTATTTATTATTTTTAATAACAGTACTATTAATAGTACTTGTTAGTTCAGTTTATAATGGATGTGTAAGTTGAATATAACTACCAATAGGTGAAAAGAACAAAAACAAGTATTGCATATTGCTAAATTTATTCGTCAATTTATTTAAAGGACAATGAGTCGATGAGCTGTTAAAATTCTAAAAATAGGTCTACAAATAAGATGGTTTTTTGGATTTGAAAGTTATTAATTCATTTCTCAAAATATTTAATGTGGGAGTGGTGAGATAAGTTTTTAAAGTGCACTCCACACTAAGATAATGTATGTGATATTTAATCTTTTGAAAAGAGAATAAAAACAAAATACACTTTTATTAAATATGCTAGTCGAATTATTTATCTTGTAGGGTCAATTGTCTTGTAAGTAGATTTGTCTTGAAAGAGGATATGGAATGTAAGGTCGGAAATTATGAATGTTCAGATTTTGTTTTCTCTGTAATGGAAGAGAAGCGAATTCATCTCTCATGGATGTGAGGAATGATTGTTAAACTTCTGGGACGGAGAATAGTATATAAGGCCTTGGAAACGAGGTTGAAGCATGTGTCGGTGTGGAAAGGTGTTATCAATATTATTGATCTGAATAATTATTATTATCTTGTACCCTTTGCGCACGACGATGATAAGAATGTGGCTTTATTTGATGGACCTGGGTTCATTTATGATCATTATTTAATAGTAAAAGAATGGAGTCCAAACTTCCACCCGACTAGTGATACAATCAAAAATGTGGTTGTTTGGATTCGAATATCAGACCATCCAATAGAGTATTATGCTGCAAAGGTGTTATTCTTCATTGATGATCAAGAATACTCTACAACTGGAGTGTGGGAAATACGATAAGTTGGGCGTCAAAGTTAACCTCGCTAAATCACTTTTAGTTATGTTTATCATCAAAGAGAGGAAGTATAATATTGAGGATGAATGATTGCCTTTATTGTGCATAACGTGTGGGAAATTTGGGCATTATAAGGAAGGGTGTCCGAAAAAAGAAAAAAAACAAATGTCGAGTCGTAACTAAAGGTAAAGGTGTAATAAATAAAAAGCAATAAGGTTTTGGAAGACAAACATTAAGGAAGATAACTGGAGGGGAGGTCAATGCTCCCTGAATGATAGTTCAAAGGCAGCGTAAGGGCGGCATGGTGACAAAAGGGCGGAGGAACATGAGTCTAACTAAAATTAATGAAGATTTGGCATTAAAAGGGTTGAGATTCATTACCTTAAGTGAGGAAATTCCATAAGTAAATGTATATCCATCTATAAATGAGGGAGAGAAATAGGAGCGAAGGATCGAGACGTTAAATGAGAAAATTGATTTGAATTTAAATGGAGATATTAGTAATAACTTTCATGCAGGAAATATGGAAGGTATTTATAAGCATGCAAAAATGACAAAGGAATAAAAGACAAAAAAAAGGAATGATATAACAGTTAAATTAAATTGAGTAATTGTCCAGGAAAAATTTGTTAAGGCGGGTAAATTGGTAACACGTGGAACAAACTCATTCAAAGGGAAAACAGGTGCAATTAGTAAAGAGGGAGGAAATCAACGTGAAAAATAATAAAAAAGAATAAAATTATTAAGGTACGTTTCCAAAGGCTCAATAATGTGAGTGTTGGTAGGGAGGAAAATGAAATAAGGGTGGATAATGTGTGGCAGAATCTAAATAGTATGAGGGTGCAGGAAGAAAGAAGGTTGGGACGTCTAGTTTAGGCCCTAACCCTGGGGATCAAATGGAATATGTTCCTTTCGGGAACCTTAAATAGATGTTTCAGCTCCACGACAGAACCAGAAATGAAGAGTGTTGGATAATAGTTGCTCTTGAACGATGACTCTGGTCTCTTTTGTAGTGATGTATGGTGGACCTACATGGTTAGCACTTTAACGCCCAAGTCAGTTCAAGATTCAATATGAGTATAATGAAATTGGAAATCACAGAGTGTGCACCTTCTTATAGCTATGAACTATTTTTATATATTGGGTTGAATAGAGTGGGCTTAGGATGGATTGAGGCCTTGGTCAATTGGGCATTTTAGAAAATCCAGAACTGTTGCCCATAAGGTTTTGTCGGACACTGAAAGAGCCGGGGGAAGTCTTAAGTATCAGTGACAACCCTTTATGTCGTAGTCAGGTGTGGAATAGAACTGAATCGGTTGCGATCAGTTTTTTGAAGAGGTGGCAGGGAATAGGCGCATTTAATGTGGTCCCATCTGTGGAAAGATTTGCTACCCATTTTTGATATGTACAGTTATGTGACCACCTAGGATAGAGCATAATTCATAGTGTTTAAGTGCACTTGAGTTTGGCATCTTTCCATGAATGGAATCATAATCGTTGATCTTGAGATATTTGTTTATAGTTGGTTTTGATTCTTCAAAGTTTGCCCTAATAAATCCTCCATTGTTGTTAATATCACGACCAAGTTAATTTTTTTCAATTAAAGCAATATAAATTGATTTTTATTAATGATTCTTCGTCATGACATGAAATGAAAGTATAAGAAGAAAGTGTGAATTATGTGTGTGTGTGTGTGTGTGTGTGTGTGTGTGTGTGTGTGTGTGTGAGAGAGAGAGAGAGAGAGAGAGAGAGAGAGAGAGAGAGAGAGAGAGTTATTTTAAACGAAACTAGGGTTTGGAAAGATTGAAAGTCGTCCAAATAGAGATAGAGTGAAAAAGCGAGAGATAGTTGAGTTTTACTTCATTCACTCGAGCTTTTTTTTTCTCATTTTTTATTTTATTTATTTATTTATTTTAATAACAATACTATTAAAGATACTTGTTAGTTTAGTTTATAATAGATGTGTAAGTGGAATGTAACTACCAATAGGTGAAAAGAACAAAAACGAGTATTGTACATTACTAATTTATTTAAAGGACAAGATGTTGATAACTATAAGATTGTTAAATTTTTTAAAATAGGTCTAAAAATAAGATGTTTTTTTGGAATTGAATATTATTATTTCATTCCTCAAAATATTTAATATGAGAGTGGTCAGATAAGTTTCTAAAGTGTGCTTAACCTCCAAAGTAAGATTAATGTATGAGATATTTAAATCTTTTAGAAAGAGAATAAAAATAATAAATATTTATTTGTGAGAATAAAATACAGTTTTATTAAATATGCTAGCCAAATTATTTATCTTGTGGGGGCAATTGCCTTGCAAGTAGATTTGTCTTGGCTTATAAAACTATTCATCTTAACATAATATTAGAGGATCTAAGATTTAAATTAGTGATAAATACAATTTACAAAATATTATTAATAAAAAATTAATGGAAAATCCAAAGATGAACAGGACATATAGTTGTGGAGTACGAAGAAGATTAAGGGAGGAGATAAATATTTTTTTAGGCCTTATCTAAATTGAGAAATTATGCAAATGTAATTAATATGCAAGTATATGGTTGAGTATATGGTTATCGGGCATAGTGGAAGCAAGGTGGGAAAGACTCGTTCTAAAAGGAATACATTAATGAAGAGGAAGAGAATACGGAAGGTATGAAGGTGGAGGGATGTAAGGTCGAGGACTATGAATGTCCATATTTTGTTCTTTCTGTAATGGAAGAGAAACGAATTCACCGCTCATGGATGAGAGGAATGATTGTTAAACTTTTGGGGCGGAGAATAAGATATAAGGCCTTGGAAATGAGCTTGAAGTAAGTGTTGGTGTGGAAAGTTATCAATATTATTAATATGGGCAATGATTATTATCTTGTAGCTTTTACGTACGAAGATGATAAGAATGTGGCTTTATCTGATGGGCCTTGGTTCAATTATGGTCAATATTTAATAGTAAAAGACCGAAGTCCAAACTTCCACCTAACTAGTGATACGGTCGAAAATATGATTGTTTGAATTCGAATATCGGGCCTTCCAATAGAGTACTATGTTGCAAAGGTGTTATTCTTCACCGGTAATCAAGTTGGTAGATTTGTAAAAGTTGATAAGAATATCCTACAACTGGTGTGTGGGAAATATGATAAGTTGTGCGTTGAATTTAACCTTATTAAACCACTTTTAGTTATGTTTACCATCAAAGGGAAAAAGTATAATATTGAGTATGAAGGATCGCAATTATTGTGCATAGCCTATAGGAAAATTTGGAATTATAAGGAACGGTGTCTGGAAAAAAAATTCAAGTCCTAACTAATGGTAAATGTGCAATAAACCATGAGCAATAAGATTTATGAAGAGAAACAAGGAGGAAGATTACTGAAGCGGGTCTTGATAGCCTCTGAACGATAGTTCAAAGGCCGTGTAAGGGCCGCATAGTGACGAAAGGGCAGAGGAACACACGGCTAAAATTAATGAAGATTTGGCATTAAAAGGGTCGAGATTTATCACCTTAAGTGAGGAAATTTCACAAGTAAATGTAGATCCATCTATAAGTGTGTGGGAAATAGAAGCGAAAGATCCAGGCATTAAATGAGGAATGTTTTTTTATAATTTGAATAGAGATATTAGTAATAATTTTTCTGTAAAAAAGATGGAAGGTATTTATAAGCATGCAAAAATGACACAAGGAATAAAAGACAAAAAAAAATGATACAACAGTTAGGTTAAGAGGAGTAATTATCCAGGAAAAATCAGCTAAGGCGAGTAAATTGGCAACACGTAGACCGAACTCATTAAAATGGAAAACAATTGCAATTAGTGAGAGAGGGATGGAATTTATGGTGAAAAATATTAAAAAGAATAAAACTATTAA